TAGTGAAGTTTTGGCATGCGCAGCGTCCGGCCTGTCTCGTAGCCGCATCGATCTCCCCTGGTGAGGTCCATTGTCGAAGTAGGACTAAGCGAATTGATAAAACGTATAATACGGCGGCAGAGCACCGCCGGGTTGTTTTGACGCCCGTCTTGAGTGACCCAGCTTCCTATCTCTTGGCTATCTTAGGCCACCAGAAGCCTATCTTGAAGGTCGAAAAGGGCCGTCAACCCTCACGTCCTTGACACCTTCGGGCATCATTCTCAGCCACTCCGTCCAGTTGTCAATGTCGATCGGTTCGTCTCCGATCCGGAATGACAGTACTAGTTGTTGACCTTCTGTACCGAACGGAAGGCTCGTCCTCAAGGGACCAATATTGAGAGGTGCGAGAAGAATCGAGGGAAGTCGAGCATTTCCAGACATTTGCATGTGGAGCGGAGAAGGAAAGCTCGTAATCGTTTCCTTTTCAGGGTTCCTATCCTGAACGAGAGAAGGGTAATTGGACAGCAGTTTCGAGTGAAGCTCTGCTGCGGAGAAAGGGCTTGTGAATCGTTGGGAAGCGCGTGTCTTCAGGTGCTCGGTAAGAACTTTAGTAAACGTGCATCGATCTAGGGCATCGAAGTGCTCCTCGGATACAGCAGCAGCCACCAATTCCAAGACACCTTGTTGGCGGTGCATTTTGGAAGATGGAAAGAATGCGGCGTCCATCACAATCAGGGTATCTGAACAAGCCTCCTCGAGCACTTGCTGAATACCACTCCACCGAATAGTCTCGGCTTTGTCCTTGTCTTTTGAGCTGGCAAAAAGTCAGATTCCGGGCCTCCAGGGAAGACTGCTTGAGAAGTACTCACCTAGCGAGCACCATCTCCCGGTTGCCGTCTAAGTAAGAATGACCATTGTAGTAGACAATCTTTAGGACGTCCCGTTGATCACGATCCTCCACAAAGTCGGTAATTTTGCGCGAGAGCCATCTCCACGGGCTTTTGCAGGCCTCTGAAGCAGACGGAATAGTCGTGATTGAAAACGTATACCGGTAATACTGGTCGAAAACTTCTCCCAGTTCTTTGACGGAGCTTCCAACACTGAAATCAGGGTCGTCCTGCCAGTACAAAAGCAAGGCCTGTGCACTTGAGTAGCGGCTCCGACTGGGGGTGGACAGAATTCTCGAAACGTTGGTCTGTAAGTCAGATTTGAGACTATCAATACCAGGCAAAACCGGGGGCTTGTCGAGCCTTGGGCCGGTCGGTAGTGGCGTGCGAATGCGGGACTCGCTGAGTCGATGACCGCCAGGAGGCGTCGGGGAGTCTATCTCCATCTCTTCGGGGTCCTGTGTGAACATTGACTTCACATTGTTGTTATTCAGGGCCGGCGCTGGGCTGAGAGGCCGCTGGCCAGCCATAGACGGGGCGATATCCTGGATGCTGGGACTGTGAGACCTATGATATTTCCTGACGGCATCCTCCCAGGTCATGTTGTGATGGCTAGGATGGCACTTGGCAAGGGCAGGATTGTCAGCAGGGGTGAGCACTTTTTGACAATAAAGACTTGAAGGGGCCACGGGTGGCTTACTGCAACTCTTCTTCTGCGACAGTCATTACAGGCGCCCAGCTTTCTGATGAGTGCGGCTTTCTCTCTCTGTTGCTGGGACAAAGGACCGGTTCGCCTCCTGCTCGCGCGGACCCGGTTAGAGACGTCGGAGCCATCCTTTACATGGAATATGGATGTTAAGTTAGGAGAGGTGTCGGCACTGTACGATGTGTTGCTTGTGTCCACGGACATATTGGTGGCAGCGGATGCCGCCGTGGCCTGAGTTGATATGGACGAGTTGGTGTCCTTCCTCAGCGGAGGAGAAGCCGACTGACCGGGGGTGGGGGGAGGTTGCTGTGACTGGTGCTGAGGAGTCGTTTGCTGCTGCTGCTGCGGCTGATGCTGCGCTGGCAATGACTGCTGTTGTTGGAGCGGAGACTGTTGCGATTGAGGCAGCTCATGATGAGACATTGAAGGTGAGCCAGTTTGGGGTCTGTTTCCAGACTCCTCGCTGCCATTCTTCGGAGGCGCCTCTAACAGACTCGGCGCCGGATGCATGCTTGCAAGTTGTGTTGTCTTATTCCCTTTGTCACAGCAGCAACTACCCTTGACCCATCCTCGGTGTGCGTTGGTGTAATTGTATGTGGCGGAAAAGATGAGAGAGAAGAGAGAAGGGTGGAAAAAAAGAGGTTCAATAAGAAAGCGTGGCTAGTGAAATTCCCGCGCCCCTTCTCTTCTCCTACACACACACACTTGGCTCTGTCTGGCTGTCGCGCCTTTTCTTTGAAGTTGGGCAGATTGTGTGGTGGTGCCCCACCGAGATTCACCGACGCGAAAGAGCGACCAGAGAAAAGTGAGGGGTAAAAGAAACGGGTCCTCGGAGGCGGGGAGCAGCCAAACAGAGAATGCGCCGAGGGCAAATGATGCCAATTGAGACCCGGAATCGGGAAGAAACCACCGCAGGGTCGGTAAGGAATAAAAGAAGGACAATCAGACTTGGTTTCGGTGGACGACCGTCTCAATTCGAGGTGTGTGAAGGTGGGAGGATGAGGGCCGAGGCCAAGGTGCACGAATAAAAATAAGGTCGGTCGGTCAGGATTTAAGGGTACGTGCACCGAGCACCGGAGAGGGAAAGAGCGAAGAAAGCACGGGCCAGTAACCCCGGTAAGGTACGGCGCTGGGAATTGAGATCGGGAGGTGAGGTGGTACTGGACCTCTGGTAGTGCCCGCGGCCGAGTGTGGTTGTGGTGGAGGTGGTAGTGGACTATGGTATGGTTTGGTCGCCGATGGTACCTCTGGTGCAAAACCCTCTCCAAGGTGTCGTTTGCGTGGATTTGGATGTTGTTGTGGCGGGAGAAAAAGTGACGAGGTTTGGATACTTCTGGCAAGGTACCGATCAGTCCAGGCCGGGATGGGGACGGGAACGGGTGAAGGGGACGGGGAAAGTTGGGCGTAGGTAGAAAGAGAGACATACATACTTACAGTCTGGATGGTTGGATGGATGGATGGATGGAAATCTGTTGACCGGGCCGGTACAACTAAACCTCTATCCGATTTTCTTGCAGCCAGAGATACACGGAAAACAGATACGGCGGTTGAAAAGCCCTTATTGGTAGGTACCGAGTATCGTCGACTGAGGTGAACCGAGTGACTTGCAGAGGTGTAGCACAAGGCAAGGTAGGAGGGAGAGGGACGAGACTGGGAAACGAGACAACCCTGCGACAGGGATCGTGGATGTTGTGGATTTTGGGTTCAGAGAGTTCGATGCTTGGGCTTTGGTGCTGAGTGAGTGATCCAGGTGAGGGTTGTGACTTTTATCGAGCGGGTCTGGGTCCGGGTTTCGGTCTGATGTTTTTTTGTTGCTGCTGCTTGCCGATGCTGAGCGGTTTTACTCTGGTTCTCTGATGATACTCTGTAGGCAGTCGGTCGGCCTTCTTTCTATGTTCCGTTCGCCGGGTCTTATGGTTCAAGGTATCTGGAGATATTCGTTGCTTAGATTTCGTCCGTCTTTGCCCTCTGCTTGCTAAGAAAGGGAGTTAGAGAGCGAGACACAGAGATAGAGAACACAGGCCAAGACGCGTGGTAGGTAAAGAAATCCCCACAGAGTCGAGGCCCCCGGTCCTTTCCTCAAGTTTTCTGAGTCGTTGCACTGGCAGGTGTGGATATCTCAAGAGCAGGAGGACCGGGTTCCTCTTCTTTCCCAGCATCACGCTTCACCAAAGTCTCCATTCGTGGATCAGTGTGAACATCGTCATATTTTCTTCTTCACACAAGGTTTTCGCTCACCTCAACTCTCCGTTGCACCTTAGGTGACTACGTCCATGCGAGATTCAATGCAATGCAAGCTGTGCGGTCTGAATGGCTCAATCGTTTTTCAGGGAGATGGATGTAGGTTGATAGGCACTTGTAAGTTGGAAAAGAAATGAAAAAGAAACCATGACAGAGCACGAGAGAGAAATGAGCTCAAGGAAGCAGTCGTCGGGTATTCATTCGTACGGAGGAGAGAAAGGCAGGTGCGCTGTAACAGGTCGCACGACACAGCCCAGCCCAGCCCAGTCGTGCCAGTCTTAACTTCCAAGTCAGCTTCCATTCGATCTGGCCAGCCCACCTCACCTGCTACCCCGTGGTGCGCCTCGGATTTGTCTACATCGCCATCTGCATCTGCATAGGTTGTGAGCTAGGTAAAGTAAGGTAAGGTAAGGCATGTACTTATCAAGTACCTCGTCTGCGTGGCAGCTGCTGGTATACCCAAGGCAGGGACTTTGCCTCATGCTGTGGTTCAGAGGCGACTTGGACTTGATCACTCAACCCAATAGAAGGAACTGAGGTGCACTCTTGCCTACTCACACTCTAAGGTACTCACCCGACCTTGGTACATCTCGGAAAGGAAGCCGCACCTGCATTTGCACCAGCCTCTGCGTATCTCCGGAGGTAGGTATTGCTCCAGCGTTCTTTCCCATCACCTAGGAACTACCTTACCTTAGCTAGCATCCATGAGTACCTACCTTAGGTAAGGTAGCAGATGAAAGCCGACATCCTCACTTGTCAGGCTTCGCGGAGCGCTTGACCCGGCACCGTTTTAATTTTTTTCTTCACCCTTGGAGGGTAAGGAGGGGGAAACAGCGCCTGGCACGTCAAAGGAAGGGTCCAGGGGGGCCACTGGGGGGTGGTGACCTTTCACCTCCACACGCGCACGCACCAGATTCTGCAAAAGGTGGGAAGGTGCGAGGTGTGAAGTGGACTGGAGTGATGGGCCACGGGCAATTTGCTGCGCCGTGGCGGGGACACCTTCCCTATCCAAGATCTCAAGGTACTCCGTGCCGTCATTTTGGCAGGGAAGTGACTTTGTCCGACGGTGAGCTTCCATGGCACGCATGGAGGACGGGGGACCTGTCTCGGGTTGGCAGGTGAGAGAGGAAATACGACGGTTGCTCTTGCCGCCAAACCGCTCAGCTGCTAAACCGCCGCTCCTTGCTCCGAACCTCTTTTTTTTTCTCCCATCGGCGTTTTCTCGTCTTGTCTCGTCCGCCCACCTTACCTGACCACTTCACCTAATCCTGTCTACCACCAACCGTCACCCTACCACCACACAGAGCATCCGTACCTTGAGCTGTTACCTTGGCCAGCCAGCTCTTTCTTGTCTGCTCCTCCTTCTCCCCCGCGATCCACTTTGGATCTTAACGAGATGCTTGAATCGAGTAGAATTATGGGGTCCTGGCTGAAGCGTCTCAGACTCCCAGCCATCACCGCGACAGTGTCCACACCTTCAGTACTCTCCAAGTCCAAGGCAAGGTAGAACTGGCGTTGCATGGGATCGGAAAGGGCAGGGCAGAAATGTCGAGGACACTGAAAGATCCGTTCTCTTAGGCATGCACACATATCCATACACGCACACACGCACACACACACACACACACACACACACACACACACACACATTCACACGGACAACTTCGCGTACTACGATCTGGCATGGCCTCACTTAGACCCGAAGAGTCAACAGATGCGCCCGATATTTAAAGACATCCAGGCATTCTCGCAGGATTCGCAGCCCAGTCAATGAAGCCCAGCCCAGCACAGCCCATCAGATTAGTCGCGCGGCCCGGTCGATGATCTTCAACGAGCCAATATGCTCACCGAACGAGGAATGGTGTGGACGTCTGTTCTCGGTGTCTCGGCTGGGGGGCGTCTAGCCATGTCCCGTCCCCTTGGCATGTGCGGCTTGACTACGGAGAAGCTCGGAAACCAAACAACAGCTGAGACCCGGGTCAATGACATCTGTTGCCGCAAAAATCACACTTCACGAGATTCCGTCTCTTTCCAAACAGCCAGCCGTTTTGCGGGTATTGCCTAGCCCTGCCTCTTCACTGCCTGACTGATGGAAGCGAGGAACGATATCAAATCACCCGCATCCATAGAGCAAATCATGACGAGAACGGCAATGGGAAGCACCTCTGGCGATGCAACACCAACCGGGCCTGGCAAAGAAAGACATGTCATGCGCACCACGTGGACCCTGTCCTGTCCCTGTCACCGTCTCCTTCACTTTTCGCTGTACGGATACGCTGTGCCTCCTCGTCTCATGGTCAGGTCTCGTCCCGCCCGCCCGCTCCCTGCTCTTCCGCCCACCGAGTAACAAGATCGGCTAACTGAGTCGCTGGCTCACCTTCAGGCTTCAGGCTGCAAGCCTGCAACTGCAAGTCTCCAACAACTGACCACCAAAACCTTTGCTGCACCTCCAATGGATCCAAGCGGGGGCTGTCAACCCCCACAGACCTGGGCCAATGGCTCGGTTCCTCTTCTAATTATCCGCGCTCTAGTCGGACATCAACAACAGCCTAATGCAGAGAGAACAATGAACAATATGATTCATTGAAAACCTACAGACTCGAGATCAGAGCCCTATCTCGTTACGCAATACCTCAACAACCCATTGGTCTATCCTGAGGGATATGCAAAATTGGACTTGAGTTGACATCTACCTTGCTTGGGCTCGCTAGGCTAACTGGCATTCTGACTCTAATCCAGCCTGAAAGTGTCTCTCGACAGAGTCGATACCTCCTCTCCTGCTCACTCACGATATCGCATCCGCTGTGCGCTGCCTGTGAGTCGGTCACAACCACCGATTCCTGCCCTACGAGCAACAACCGAATGCTGCGTCCATCCATCCTCTCACATTCTCACTCCTTTCGCCCACCTGTTCAACCAACGGAGTCTGGCTTCACCGGAAAATACCGCCAGCCTCACCGCAACTCCCTTTCCAATAGGTCTCCGCTCATCCCCCCACACTAGCACTCGAGTCTTTCTTTCTTTTGGCCTGATTCACGAATCATCATCCACCTCGCAATCCCGCTGCATCTGCACTTCCCCTCGAACGAGATGAAGGCCGCAACGTTTTGCTGCATGCTTTGTAATGCTTTTGTCTACTCATATGGCCATGCGATGCAACGGCCCAAGTCAAAACATGCTCTCCCATGTCAAGTTTGCCAGTTGCAAGGATCACAGGCGAAAGACGCTGTTGTTCATCGCGTCGTTGCTTCTCGAGGTGCCTTAGCTGGCAAAGGCGGCAGAATTGAAAGTTGCAATTTGAATTACCAGCTACCTTTTCCAAGTTGCACCGTGGCTATACCTATGTTGTGTGTATCAACGTTGCAACTCCGGCAATCCCATCGACAAAGGGCCGGCGTCAAAATACCATTGAACATTCAGCCAGCAAATATCCACTTCTACGGTCTGCCTGTATTCGTCCTTCCAGGCCTCTCCCGCCGAGTCGGCGACCTGGCACGGTCAAGGTGTGTCTATGATTAGCGGCATATGCACGAAAGACATGCGTACATACTGGTGGGATTCGCGCTTCAGATAGCCGTCGCGCCGTCTGTTCTTGTCGGCCTGCATGGCATGTGCAGGAAAAACAACATCAACATTTACAGCCGAACCTCTCTTAGCTTTGGGTTCTCTACCGCTCCAGAGACTATGAAATTTGCCTTCTCAACTTGTCGATTTGGGCTTTTGGAGTAGTCCAACCAGCGCGACTGTTCAGCACATCATTAGGATCGGACCGAACCACCTTTGTCCAAGGCGCCTGCCGTCCTTGCACAACATGAAAAAAGAGGGTGGCGGGAGCGGGCAGCGGGTGCCACATCTCTCTCCTTGTCGGGACCCGGTGAGCTCAATGTCCCCACCCCTCCGGACTCATCACTTGTCTCGGTCTGCATTCCTCCGGCCATTGAAGATGCGACCAGGGCCAGGGCCAGAAGCTCACTGGCTGACCTTGAGGCCCATCTGCCCATCGCCGAAGATTGATCAATGAGGAAGAAAGGTGTCAAATCCCGCACGGTGAAGCAACGGTAGGATGGCGGATGGCAGACGCCAGACAATGGTTCCACCGGCGGCCAGTGGGATTGGCCAGCCTCCGATATCGCCCCATTCCGCTTTTGGACTGGCTCGGGAACCTCCCGCTGACCGAAGCCGCTTCAGCGCAGTGTGACAATGGACGGCAACGCGGGCGCGGACGGCCTCTGAAGCGGTCGGCGCCCGGCGTCTAGCCGACTTGATGGACCAGGCCTTCAGCCTCAGTCACCTGGCACACTTTGACTAGGGGTGGATGTTCGAATGTTGCTTCAGAACGTAAGACAAGGCTCGGCAGTTGCTGCAAAATGCGGGACTTCTTATAAAGGCTACCCGCCTTTGCTAGCACTGCGGAGGTGACACTCAGGCTCGCGTACCAAGTAGCCGGTGAATCGTTGTCACTAGCCCTAGTAAGTTTGCGGCTCAACTCTCACCTGACCGAGTCGCCTGCGGTCCCAGACCCTAGTGATTGCTCATCTACTTTAGGACGGACGCCACTCTCGACAGAGACTCAATCACAGGAGAATACCTCCGGCTGCTTGTGATATACTAACAGACTTTGTTCAGAGGAGTTGCTTCTAAATAAGGGTAAACCGCCCCTGTTCACAGGGTCATCTATTGTATACGTGGTTACAGAGAGTGCGTGATGTTCCCATGATACATTTTCACATGTAATCGTCACCCACCGCCTCGAGAATGCCCTTAGTTGTTTTTTTCGTATTTGTCTGGGGTCAATAGCATGTGAGATGGGCAAGGAATAACTTGGAGATTGACGGCATACTGCATCTATCTTACTCTTCCGGATCCCTTTCCGAAACATGACATATCATATCGTATACCAAAAGACTGATATGATATACCCCTTACAGTAATCCTTGTTCGTAAGGTATCCACCGGTAGCCAAATATGACTATGGATAACCTGCCATTAGCAGTGACTTGGGCCTTTCTTTCCCAAGCTAGTATTAGACCATGACATTGAGTGACTGATTCGGATAATTGACTAGATCAGGTAAGCACACGAGACAAGTATCGGGGCCCCTAGAGGGAACATGCTGTCCATATGTTTACGTTATGGCTTGGTTTCAAGTCGTATATTGCTTTCCCAAAGAAAAGGAAAAGGAGGAAACAATAAGTACAACGATTCAACTTGGAAGTCAGGATGCAACCCTGCCTTGGGTATCAATAACATATCCATGAGTTTTTGGCTTGTTGGTAACTCAATTTACCACGGCTGATGTCACATGGATGTAACACAGTGGTGGCGACGTAATCTCCATAACCTTACTCCTTGAATATGTGGCGGGCGACGTTCACTCCCCTATGTGAATTTTGCCAGCCTAGCAAGTTTGGGTTTCGTTTTATGCTATTAATAATGGTGGCCAATGCTGATTGTCGTCCACATGAGAGTCCAAACCTCGTTCATGCACAAGTAGTTGGTGTTTTTTTTTTTAATTGAACAGATTACTGGCCGCGGTGATTCTCTGGGATAAACCGGGGGGGGGGGGTGGGTGGCTGTCTCTTTTGTTCATGTGGCACTGAGATTTTGAAAAAGAAGGAGATTGATGACGGGGCGAGGTTGTCTGAGAATAATGTTGAAGGCTAGTAGGCTTGGAAAGCCCCACGCACCAGGCCGCCCTCTCTTTTTTTCTCCTCTCGGATTTACTTGCTAGTCGGCCAAGATGTTGGAACCGTTAGCCACGGAGGAGAGTCCGTGGTAGAACATTAGACCTGGTTAGTTGCCCGTTTGGAGATGAGCTGTCGCATTTTCGTAACCCACGATATCCTCACGTGAGAAAATCGTGGATACTCCTCAGGAAGTTTCAGCACTAGAGCGGGCGTGTATCGGTTATTTTGGGAAAAGGGGGAGAAGAAAAGGGAGCTTCCTTCATGTGAAGCCGGAACCAAAGTCAAAGGCGTTGTTCAGATTGATGGATGACGGGGTTGGGATCATACTCCGGGTAATTCCCATAAACACCTCGGGCGACCCCCCTCCCGAGTTGCCTTGATGATAGACAGTGGAGGGGAATTAATCTATGTAGTAGGCAACCTCCCTACTTTGGCAGGTCTGTATCCATAAAATCTGTGGTGGTAAAGTACAGGTCTACGCCCCGCCGCTGATGGACCATTAATGTAGATTATTTGCTGAGTGGTATCCTGTGTCACTACAGACAAGACTGAGCCAGAAGCAAGAAATCGTGGGTTTTGTACCGAGATGCTGTTTCCGAGAATGCGCGTAGATGAGCCGTGTACTCCGTGTTATTCTTTTCAGTCCCAGCAACTTGCTTGGCTTTGATGATACATTAGAGGGTATCATAATCTCAGAGATGCCAACGATGTAAGACTTGAGGTTCGTCGCGACCAAGTACTAGACGATCAATACATAAGCAGGGGCATTCTCTGTCTGCATCGACCTCCCATCCGTGTTACGCAGTTGGTTTCAGCAATCATCTTTGACTCTCACGGCCCGGATGCCTTGGACCAGACGACCTACGTCAGGGATGGAATCCGGTTGAAGGAAACCGCGCGGCTAGAGAGGATGACCAGGTGTGAAGTTGAACTAAGATAACCGATCTACCACAGCCGAACACCTCCTTTATTGGCTCAACGGACCCCAACTATAGACAAGTAAGTTGCTTTGTTTGTCCTCTCATAAAGAAGGGGAGAAATTTGTACCATGAAACAGTCAACACAGTGACCATCTTGAGGCATGCTGAGTTTCTTCAAATACTGGTATTGGAGACTGGGGACGAGGTTATCTCTGTTCACTTCACCTGGTGGTGCTCTCCATCTTGAACGGGGGCTAGAGAGAGGGGGAGGTGATGACGAGACTCTCTTGCTCGTGAGAGATTTCTCTCTCCTTGCGCGAATATCGACCATTTTGGAATATTTGTTAGGGGACCATCATGGTCGTCTGCAGGCTGAACATACTTGGTCGAGGGCGCGGATTGAGAAGATGGATGCGTGGTCCCCCAAGAGGGGAAAAAGGCCTTGCTTGCTTTTCAAATTCCAGATTTGAGCTGAGAGATGGAATTACACGGAAGATAGTTGCCCATATTTTCTCTTTGCACTAGTCCTCAAGCCAACCTATTCAAGACAGGAGCGAGGTTGACGTTGTTTACCTCACCCACCGCGTGCCTTCCCTCGCAACCGCAACAACAACACACAACTTAATGAGTAACACATCTCACCACCATCGCCACCAAATTTTCTCAAATCATAAAAATAACCACATCTACAGCGTCTCCATCCAGTTCTGAACACAATACACTTAAAGTTCAACCACCAAAAAAGAACTAACCTCTAGGAAATTTCTCCTAAAAGTTCGGAGAAGGGGTGTTGAACCCCGACCCTATGAAAACCCCACCCCCCCAGGGGAATTTTCTGCTCTGTATTTAACCGCTCCGCTAATGCGTTCCCGGGGCGTCCCCCGGGGCAGGTATTCGTATGAAGAAAAAAGTTGTAGAAGAAGGGATGGAATGGGTGGTGTGGTGAAGTGAACCGTCCGGGTGAGGGTGGCTTGAATGTTGGGATGAGAAAAGGGGGGGGGGGGGCGGCGCTGGGAGTGATGAATACGTGGATGAGGAGCCTGAGGTTCCAAGAAGGACGGCTGGATACCTTCTTGATGAGCAGGCCACTGGGTCCGAGGCACCAAAGGATAGAAATTACTTTCTATTCTTCGAATCTGTTTTACCAAATAAGCAAAAGAACATGCCGTCTATGATGGCCGCTGCGGGGAGCCATCTAGCCTTAAACTACCTCTCATCTCTAGCATCATCACAAAAACAGATAACGTCCAGCGTCTGTCTACCTTTACTCATTAAAGGGGCTTAGTCGCGAACCCCAACTCCTTATTCCCGCCATGAAACACCACAAACTGCGACTTTAGAAAAACGTCCCCGTAAATCGCAAAGGGCAAAGCCGCAGAGCTCTGTATACCCCCAAAGCACGTCGTCGAAGTCTCAACCGTCTGCCCGTCGACGGGAGCAAACTTCATAAAGTCGCCCGGGACGACGGCCTGGTACTTACCCATGTCAACCGTGAAAGACGGGATCGTGTCCTTGCAGTTGAAGACGAAGCCTCCGTTGGTCGCGTCGTACTTTGCGCTCGCGATGCGTTGGTAGTACGCTGAGACGATGGCGTCGGGCAGCAGCATGAGCGTCGTGCCCGTGTCCGCGATGGCGGCGTGGGGGGCCGAGGTGGGCGCGCTGCCGTTGGAGCCGACGGAGAAGCCTTGGGCTGTGAATTGCCAGAAGCCTTGCGTCGTGTTGGCAGGGACGAAGGTGATGTCGCCCGTGTACTCTGTCGAGTCGAGGAAGCCAAAGTTGTAGTTGCCGGCTTGTGATATGTGATTAGTTGACAGTCTTGAAGGGGCCTTGAAGTGAGAGTTTGTGACTTACCAGCTGCCTTCTTGAGATTTGCTGTGAACAGTGGCATGGCGAGATTGGTCATTGCATTCTCGAAAAAGGTTTTCTGCTTGGCAGGCTTGACAGTGTTGATGTTGCCAAAGGCCAGTCCGACAAGACCAGACTGGTTCTTATTTCGAGAAAATGACGAAGACACTTGAGTAGCAGACTCGACTGCTTGGCTCTCTACAGTCACGCCGCCGATCGTGACAGTGTCCATGAAAACATTACCTTGGGACGAGCTACCGTCGCCATAGGAGATCGACCAAGAAGCACCCTGGAGGACTTTGGCACTTGTACTGGCGTTAATGTTGTACACTGTCTGCCCCGCGACTTGGGTTATGGGTGTCTCGCTACTGAAGACCCATAGATCCGAGGACCCGGTATCGAAGTTGAGCGGGATAGTCTGGGGCGGAGTGCCGATCTGGACAGGGCAGAGATACTGGCTGTCGAACTCGGCGGGAATCGCCGCAACCTCTCCTTCAGGACTGTAAGCTTAATCCCAAGAAGCCGACATATCAACTTACCACCTGGAGGTGTCTTCGTGCCATTGCCTTTATTACCTCCGCCTCCGGGAGTAGTGGTTGTGCCATTGCCCTTGGATCCACCAGCACCAGCATTGCCTCCTTTCCCTCCCTTACCCTTTCCTTTGCCGCCACCCTTACCCCCTTTACGACCGCCATTGCCTTTGCCTCCGTTCAGCAACCCAAGCTCTCCGAGGATTTGATCGACGAGCCCTAGAAGATCGTCGGGTATCTGCTGCCCGAACTTGGAATAAGCTCTAGCCAGTGCGATGGGCCCTCGCCTGTTTCCATAGTAAAAGTCGGGATTGGGAGCCTGCTCGATTCGAAAGGCCGCGCCGCCTAGAGTGGAAATTTCTAATTTACGAGGTGCCGCATCTACTAGATGAGAAGCAAAGGGAACGAATGCTGCCACTGCAGCTGGTTTGGTAAAACGCATGGCCACTTGAGGGAGAAGAAGGGTCTGGCGAAGGAGTGAAGCCAGATGGGAAGCTCACAGAGCCTTCAACAAATAACGACCTTAGAAGAAGAACAGTACGGAGATAGTGACACAAGGAAAACAAAAGGCTTGGAAGCGCGGAGCGTCCTGGGGAAATAAGCACACAAGCTTTTGCCAAGTTCGCTTCCCATTGTAGCAACGCATAGATCGACCTTCTCAGCCGTTTCGAAATGCTCAAATACCTAGTCACCAGTTGGATCGCCATCCAGGCAATGACGAATCGCGAGACGGAAGGAGAAAATTCCACTTTCCGGGCCTGGCGACGAGGACCTGATGTAGGCGCCAGGGGCTGAATCGTTCGAGTCTACCCGCCATCGGCGAGTCGACAGTCTCCCAAGGAGGCGCATCCGTAGATGACCTGCGACAGTCGATCATTCAGCTCAACTCAAAGCGTGGTTCCTCGCAGACACTGTACGCCGGAGTTGTGAGGCGACCTCTATGGCCGTATGCTTGGCTTCCGAAACACTGTAAGACGGGCATGCGACCCCTGTCCGCAAGGTCAACCAAGTCGCGATGCCGAACTCCCGTGACAAGTTGTTGGATTGCCAGACCCCTGTTTGTAGCCACAACGCATCCAGCCAGGTCAAGGCTTTACTTGTGATGTTGAACGAGGGCATCCGTAATGTGGGAAAGGGAAAAATTAAGGATCAATCATCTGAAGTTGCTCAGGGACATGCGATGAAAAGAGCAGGAGAAGTAGATTGCAACGCATCTTGACGGTCAAAGTCTAATACGGAGATGAGAAGAGCAAGGGAGTCGGAGAGGGTGTGGACCAGTTGTGACGAGATTCATGCAAAACTGAAACCGCTCTCCATTCTCATGTTGACAGCTGTTGTGAATCGGAAGACACCACTTGAGTCTTCGGCCGAATCCCCAGACATCTGCGACGGTTGTGAGTATTTGACATCACGGAGAGACAAGGCTTGTTCCGAAGGAAAAAAGCCGGTCGTTGCAACACTGATCGGACAGTAGGAGAAGTTGTCCGTGCATTGACGTCGGGAAAGCCGGGTTCCGATGGGTTATAAGCCTGACCTGAGTTTGCGACTAGAAATACTTGTAGAAGTCAGCCCGTTGATAAGGCGTGTCAAAGAGGCGTCGTCAAATGTATTGGTATGGGAACCGAGCGAAGTATAGCGCCGTCACTTGGCGAGGTCGATCTCTGCAAGCTAATCTCTCCAAGGCGTCGTTGCCTTGATTTTCCGTCCGAGATCCTGTTAGGACACATTCATCTGGCCAGGTATTGGCCATCCATCATCAAGCTCTCGGTTGACTGGCCAATGCCATTTCATCGGAATTTGGATGATTCAGGGATCGAAGAAGCGATGGGAAAATGTGCGTGTGTGTATGTGTTCATGGGTAAGGTGAAATGAATGGTGGCTTGACAGCTGCCCAAATCTTCAAAAGGTGGAAAGCTCAAGGTGGAAGCAGCAGATTCCCGAGCCAGGCACTGCCAGGGTGCTGCTTAGTCACCACAACATACCCCGCCACCCCACTTGCCTGCTTGAATTCCCGAAATCTGCCAAGAGGCAGTGACAGTCCAAAAACTCACCAAAACTCACCGCCCGACCGTTGCCCCCCCTATCACCGAAAGGCATCAGGTCCCCTTACGCGTCTTCGTACGTGTCAGCCACTGCTTACGATGTGAATGACTTCCTTTCCACGTTGTTCTACCTACCAAACTCTATCTATGAGTCGCTCTTTCCTGCGATATCCTTCAATACCCCGTCACTCGTTGACTTCCTGCCGTTTCTTCTTCCTCTCATTTTCTTCCTAGTGACGATTTAGGGTCTTTTGTTACTTCCCTCTTTCGCATTTACAACCACGCAACGACTACATGACTACATACAACGATACACGACGATAAAATGCCAGAACACGATGCTCTTATTCTATCATTCTCACATTTATCGGATTTTCCGCGCGCTCCCGATGCTCTCCAAACGCTGAAGAAGGTGGCCTCCTTGGTCAAGCCCATCATGCGAGTTAGAGGGTGGAAGGTGCGAGAGCTAGCTGAGTTCTACCCAGACCAAGCAAACCTCCTCGGTATGTCAATCTCCTGGCAGTTACATCAATCTACTAACGATGGTGTATTCAGGTTTGAATATCAACAGAGGCCAAAGAATCCTCGTCCGTTTACGTTATCCCAATGACCGATCACTCTTCCTACCTACAGAGCACGTAGTCGATACGATGCTTCACGAACTTTCACACATTGTATTTGGACCACACGACGGCAACTTCCACGCGCTGTGGAACCAACTTCGAGACGAACACGAGTCGCTCATTCGAAAGGGATATACGGGCGAAGGGTTTTTATCAGATGGACATCGCCTGGGAGGCGGCCGGATACCTATGCATGAAGCTCGACGACTTGCTAGAGCATCAGCTGAAAAGCGTCGTACCTTGACAAAGGGGTCAGGCCAGCGTCTTGGTGGCTCTGGACCAAGCATCGGTTCAGATATCCGGCGAACCATCGTGGGCGCAATAGAGCGCAGAAACACCACGCTGCAGGGATGTGGTAATACAAATCACAACGATAGAGAGATTCAACAAATCTCCGAGACAGCTACGAAGAACGGCTTCCGTACGCAGGCTGAAGAAGACGCGGCTAATGAAGCTGCAATTGCGCAAGCTCTCTGGGAACTGGTACAAGAGGAAGAGCGCCAACGGTACGGTGGTTACTTTATTCCACCAACAGCGCAAAACCCTACTGGCAACGGTGGAGGATCCGTCATGGGAGATAACCAGAACAGGAGCAGTAGCGTTCCTCCGCCGATCCCAGGACCAGGAACGAGACCTCCATCGGTACCAAGGCCAGAGACTCGGCCATCAGTTATGTCTGCACCGGTGCCCCAACCAGCTCCGCAACGGGGCTGGACATGCGGAGTCTGTACCCTCCATAATCCTTCAAGCTTTTTGTGCTGCGATGCGTGCGGCACAGAACGAGGTCAGGATCCTCAGCGTCAAGTGTGGACACCAAATGCCGAAAAGCGCGAACGTGAACGCCAACGGGCATCAATGGCCGCAACGGCGAAGAGCACGACACAGACTGCCACTATCGATCTCACAAGTAGCCCGCCCAGAGCCAGTAGCAGTAGAAAGCCTGGTAGCAGCAGTCTACACCCCGAGCCAGTGAAACCCCTAACCTGGCAATGTTCGTATTGTGGGACGATGATGGAAAGGCAGTGGTGGACGTGTTTGACGTGTGGGGTGATGAAAGACAATTCAACCTGACTGAGCGGGGAAGAGGCGAATTACATGGATGAACTCCGGCGGCAAAGGAACGAGGAGGGCACATGAGCACGTGAAGGGGTCCTTTCTCTGGATCCTCAGGGTCCAAATGACGAAATGGCCGATGATACCCTTGCAAACGAAGGGATTTTGCAGTGCTTGTACTGCATCATGTCGTATGTTACTGTAAGCGACAGATGTAAGGCTGTGTCACGAAATTGAGACGGAATGACATAATATCTCGCGACATCGAAAATCGAGACGCAACCCACAACCTATTGTGACCCAGTGCTAGGTACGCTGACATGCTGACAACTTACAAGCAAAGTAAACGGGGAGAAATCGAGTCATTGTGTGGATTATACACGGGTGGCATGCGCCCAGCACATGTCAAGACAAAGATGCGCCATGATATGGAATCTTCCAGTGGCACGAACGAGCTACCCTCGAGCTACACTCGAGCTACACCCGAGCTACACTGCTTTTGTCTACGAGGTTGAATGACGTTTGGTTGCGTTCTGAGGAGTCGGGAGAGAGGCCGAGGACCAATCAAGGCTGCTTATGTCAAGATGACGTCAATCATGGGCAGGGCAAACACGCAGACACGCTCGGGCAGCAAAGCTCTGGCAAAACAAGGGTGGTGCTGCACCAGCATGATTGGCTCTAACCACCAAAGCCAGGGTCAGATGATCTGCGTTGCACCACGCAGCTTTGGAGTCTTTTGGTGGTACTGAAGGCGCACCGATATGGAGAAGACGACCAGGGCCCTGGTCGTGTCTGTGGCCATCCCGGTCTAGGCGTCTTGAGTGCCTGCGGGCTAGACCCGTTCGAGTTGGAGATCTACGATCGATGGAGAGACCGTGAGGTCCAGACGCAGGGCAAATTTGTCACCGACAACGCCAGTCGGAGATAGTCAAAGCCCAAGTCTTTGCGTTTATCCGAATTCAGCGTAGTAGGCATCACTTCCAAGTATCCAAAGCTTATGAGTGGATGAGCCAATGCGGGAAAAAGACTCACCGAACGATGATCGGTACCGCATCCACGGGGGACCAAGCGAAGACGAAATAGCCTCGAATATGCAATTGAAGAGCATCCCCGGCTACACAGCATGATGGGCTCTCAACAGAGGACACCCAGCTGCAGCCTATAGTTCGATGTATGGACGTGGACAGGCGAACGTCACACGCGTCAAACCGAACAGACGGGATCGCCCGGACACGCAACGGATATAGAGGAGGCTGCGGCAGTCACTTCCTCGTCTGTCATTATGGCCTCGTATTTCTACGGCAGATGGGGACAGCGAACGGAGTTCCAACGGCGCAACAGAGTCGATAATCGATCTATCACCAGTCAATTTTTGGAGAGAAAGAGAGAGATCAGCTTGCGACAAGGGTGACAAGCAAGACCACGCTTAACTGCAAGCTCGCTACCGAGCTGCGTCTTCCTCAGGGTCTTCATATAGGCACACGGACGTTGATCCCCAGGCTTTAGCTAGCGCCAGACGTTTCCCATCAGCTGTCGATGCCTGTTCACCAACTTCTGGCCCCTGGCCGAACCCCATCGCGAAGGCATGCATAGCGCTGAAGTACCTCGATTATGAGAGACGACCACATGACTAAATTTGACCGTGGATCGGTTCTAGAAACCAGCCTGAGACTGACAGGAACAAGCGCAATAATCTGTTTGACAATTAAATAGAGACTGAGACATTGGCGGAAGCAGCCAGTGGCTGAACCAATTTCTTGACGGTTGGGGATGCCGAGCGACACACCTGACGGACCCGGCCAGACACGCGGATCGAAGCAAGACAAAGAAGGGATCAGCAAAGCGAGAATGTTGCTCACACAGAAAAAAAAAATGTCCCGAAGGTCGACCAGGAAGAAGGTGGTGGTGGTGTGTGCTGTGCCTCTCTCAGGGTCGGGGTCCCTCTCTATAGTGGCATGGAGCGCCTATCTTTACTTCACTTGAGGCAAAATTCCATTCCTGCTAGCTTTATCGAGTTGACCCATCCGGAGACGCCCCATCATGTTCCATCTTCGAAAATTCGCCTCGTCTGTTAAGGGGATCCTCTTCTGCCGTCATCGTCGTGATTTTAACGGCCCACGCAGCAGCAGCAAGGCGAATATTGGACCGGCTCGTAGTCCTATCGCAGTCGGGGGCCTCGGTTTAGGAATCACGACAGCAGAGCAGAAGTGGATGATGATATCCATCACGGTCCGATATTGGCCTTTCTCTCTATGGTGGAGAACCAGCTGGACAACACATCGACAATGCCGCACACGAACCTGGCCGGAGCCTCAATCCGTCGTCCGGGCTTGATTAACATTGTGGATGTTTGTGGGCGTACGCCGGCAACAAGACGGCAGGAAATGGTTCCATGCGCCTGGAAGGGGGAGGTGCAGAAGATGTGAGGCGGTTTAGTGCATAATGTGGGTGTGTCCTGATGTTACACACGAAAACCGACATTTGATGGGAACTGGGAGAGTACGGAGTACCAAATCACGACAAAAGATGACAAAGTGCGGCCTCTCTCGGATGAGGTACGTGGTTGACGGACGAAAGGACGACTGGCATGGATTGGGCCGCAAAGACGAACGGGAAGATCCCCACGTGGGAAGGGTCTGGACAGAGTTGAAACATGGAAGCAGGTCGGCGCTCGCGGTGCCTGGTGTCTCGAGCATCTGCTTGTCCAAGGGAATCCCTCACGGAGAGCAGTTGAATGTTGGAAATTTCGGGCGATTTTAATCATCAAGAAGTGGGAAAAGAAGGCAGAGCGACAGGGCATGACGAGTTTGACGGGCTGGGCAGAAAGGAGCATCGCTGCCATGGCTGGTGCCTCAGCTGTGGGCAGGCCACAGGGCGAGCGACTGGTCCACTCTGTACCGGCTGTGTACCTTGCTTATTCATTCGACTACTGCGCACTCCGTATACGATGGACAGGTACCGCAATTTACAGAATCCCAGCGGGCAGGTGTTTGGAAGACGGCCCACTGAAGGGCAGTGGACATGGCGGGCGTCAAGGGTGGGCAGACCGCTCAATGTGCCTGTCCTAGTTCATCGAGATGGCCTTGTACCGTGTATTGCGGTGGTGCGGTACCTAACGGATACTTGGAGACCGAGTTTAGGTAAGATACGTGGAAATACGTACCTCTCGTCGGATTCAGATTTCGATGGTTTCTTGATTGAACTTGTGCATCCCCCATCCACTTTCCCATCCACCTCATGGCCAACTAAAAAGCCTGGCTGGGAACTCGGAAGTTCTTTTGTACCTGAAAGATCCGGATACAAAGATACCCGACAAGCCGAGGCTATGATACACTCGGGTGCCTCACATAATATGCAGTAAAGACGGGTATAAGTTCTCGTACCGTTCAAGTCGCGTTCCTACCTACCTACCTTAGGTTAAGGTGCACCCCGTTTCTCGCATCCAATCCCGCAGTCACGTTCGTTTACCCCCTCTTGTCGGCTGGCCACCGCCGCTGTCACAGCATGACGATCGCTCTCTGCCTGAGCACCTACTCGTCGCGCGCGCTGTCTGGAACACCGGCCAAACGTATGGAATCAATCCAACAGGAGGAATGGGCAGTGGGAGTTTCTCTGATTAATTGCCTCCCCTTCCCCGCCCGCCGGCACAGAATCCGACACTTGGATGCCCAACGGCAAGCAGTCAGTACCCAGAACTAGAAGACGAGAGCGAGGAACAGGCGGCGCCGGGGATCCACGGTAAGGTATGATTCGCATCCAGCAGAAACAGTGCCCAGTCCGAATTCGCCTCCACATTATGGCCCTCTTGAGCCTTTTCCCTCATCTCTCTGTTCGTCTGTCTGACCTCGTGTGCTTCTATCCGTATTGTAAAGTAGGTGGTCACTATTGTCTTGAGTAGGTAGGCACTGTCCAGTCCGTTCATGAACCAAAAACCCACGAGCTCAATCATCGATCCACACACTCTCAGTCCAGTCCGGTTCTGGCCCAATTTGTCCCACCGCCCATCCACTGCCACCACCTCTTGGGATAATGGCCCCCTTCTATCCCTATCCCCCCAGTCCCGGTCGCGGTCCCATCTTACTGTGGTGTACGGAGTACGGGCGGGCTTGTTCCCCCGGCTCAGTCTTGGTGTCCATGTTCCTCCATGTTCCCCCCAATTCACATTACGGATACCTACCTATCCGTAAGCACTGCTAAGCTACCTTACAAGCCCCCCCCTCCCCCAGACATTGCATGGGTTCGACCACCACTCCCTCCTGCGTCTTGATGCTTGATCACCGACGACACCACTGGGCAGGGTAAGGTAGGGGAACCATCCATATTCACTCAAACAAAGTTTGGACTATGACGGCCCCATCCCTTGTCCTTTCCTGCCAATCCTGACTACTCTACTACCTTAGGTACGGATACACACGCTTTCCATTCACTGCCCATTTTGTACCTACAGTCAGCTCGGTTCTGTCTTCTCCCATTGAATCCCCATCTTTCCATCCTACAGTTTTGTTTGTCTATCCGATCTCTTCAGGTCTGTTTAGCCTGACTTGACTTGACCACCCTTTGGTTTGTCTCTGGTCTTCTCTGTCTCTCTGCATCTATCCTCTCGGTCCAAACGGTGTCCATCCATTGTGAGTGAGCTTGAATCCCCTGCGCCCCCGTCCCTTTTTTTATTTTTATTTTTATAGTTGTTTCTCCTTCCCAAGAACCCCTCCTTCCGTCGTCCAGATACCTACCTTAGATCCAGTATCTCGTACCTACTCGCTTTTGCTCTTTCTCCTTCTTCTTCTTCTTCTTCTAATTCCGTGTGCCCCCTTCGGAGCCAAGACGACCCAGGGCGCACACGACTTCTGCAAACTACTGCACACTGGCGTCTGTAGCTGATGAGCGGCAATTGTTCCCTCCGCTTCACTTCGTCAATCTCAACCTGTCACCTCACCTCGCACCTGCTTTTCTACCTACTTTGTTAATTACTTACATTTTGTATCTTCATTGGCCATTGCCATCCCCATCTCGCTGTGGCGTTTCAAGGCACTTTTCTTTGCCCTTTCTTACCTGCTTCTGCGCTATGTTCTAGACCTCCCCACACCACTTCCGGAATCCAAGCCGCCATCCGACCATCTCATTCTCTGTCTCTCGTCCGCTCATCTAGGTATCCATCCGAGACTACCTACCTTACTACACGAGACACCCACACACTCACGCACACACACGTATGTACTCACTCTCACACCCTCTATCTCAGGCCCATCTTAGTAAGCCCCGGCCGCTATTGCTTGCTGTTGCACTTGCACCTTCCTCCCCTCCCTCCGACTTTCCATCTTTGCCGCCTCTTTTTCGAAGCCGCCGTTTGCAGTCGAATTCAAACCGAGCGGGAATCTCTACATCAGCGCCCCAATATTCTTTTTCCCTTCGCCTTGCCCGGTGCCCCAGTACCTAGTTGCCTAGGTAGCTTAGTTACCTGGCCCTGTTTGCGCCTTGGTCAAGCCCGGCCAGCACCAGCCGCCGTTGTCGCT